AGACCCCTGATAATCTTTTCTTTAATTATCTAAAAAAAAGTCTTATTTTCAGTGATTTATTATGGACTGGAATATAGTTTCAATTATACCGTTTAAGAAGATTATACTTTCAGTAATTAATTTATTATTTATCAATTTTAAGCCCTTGAAAACGATTATAGTTTCAGTCAGAAGCTAAAAAATTAGTGATGGAATCATTTCCGACCCTATAAACTATATATATTCTTGATCAGCATGAACAGACGAATCGATCTAGCCATGTCTGGGCGAAACAAAATTATAGTAAATTTTTGTAAAATTTTTAAAGGGTTAATAGTTAAAAATTTTAAAAATTGGCAAAAATTTTAATATTTTTAAAATTTAAATTGAGTATGCAGATTTATTAAACTTATAAAAACTAACATAGGAAAGCTTTCAGATTTGAAATTGACTCGTTTTTGGCTTAGTTACGAAGTTTTTGAAACTTTAATTTGTCGAAAAAAGTGTCATATAAAAATGTCTATTGGTTTTGCTTCAAATAATAAATATGATGATCGATTTCCCAAATAACAATTTGCAAACTGGAAAAGTATATAAGCTTCGGCTGCCCGAAATTAGTTTCCTTTCTTGGTTTAAGGTAAGATTTCTGGGAAAAGCCTTGAGGCTTTAAGAACTTAAACCTGCTAAGGTTAAAGAAAGAAATCGATAGTAAGTATTTGAAGTTAAATTATATTGTTAATTTACTTTGTAAAATTATATTGTAAGTTTGTATTTTTAATTTATATTATTACTTTATATTGTTTATTGGTTATAACAACTTTTTGATGCATTTCTAAGGAGCACTAAGTATTTAAAACACTAAACCTCTGGTTTTTCCAACCTTTATCCCATCACCATGATTTCTCAGTGTGTGGGCCCTGCCTTGGGTGGGTCTCTGGAGCTGTGTGTGGCTTTGCCAGTGGTTTTTTTTTTTGGTTGTGTGGCAGCAACCTTGGAAATGTGCAGTTGCTGTCTGATTTATACTCGCGCCGCGGTGCCACAAATCAAAGTCGAAATGCAACGCTGACTCATTTGCAGAGCTCCTGCTTTGGCTTCAACGACCTGTTGCATGCCCCCGCTCCTGGAATCGGAATCAGAATTGGAGTTTTGCCAGCCCAGAACCCTACCCACCACAACCCTCCCTCCCCCACTTGGCCATCGAAATGAACCACCGGCAGTGTTGTTCTAAGTGTTCTGACCTTGCTGCCGGGTAAGTGGCCAGCCATAAATTTTGGCATTGCGCAAAAAGGCACAGCCGAAGCCACAGCCCCGACTCTGATTCGATTCTGATTTCGAGTCCAATTCCAATTCCAATTTCAATTCCAGCCACACAAAACAAGTCCAATTGTAGTCCCCAGAATCCGTGTCCGAAAAGTGAATTGTCGCTGACACTTTGAATAAATTGCTAAACGATTTGGCAAGCGCCAAAAAATTTAATGGCAAAAAAGGATTTCACGTTGCCCAAAATCAACGTTAACTGAATTTATTGGCCAACAGAAGTATGTTGACTTTTTGGCATAGGAATTGTAATGATAGCTATGGGTTTTAAATTTTTAATATATATTACTAATTATAGTTGTTCAATTAAATTAGATACTGGATTAGTTTTTTTTTTTTAGTTTTCTTATATAAATATCTTTTAAAATTGTAACTAATTTTTATAAATTAATTTCCCTTTGCCCAAAATCTACTTTAACTGATTTTATTGGACATCAGAAGTAAGTTGGCTTTAGCCAAAGAAATTTTAATATTATTTAAAGGTTTTAAAATTTATTTGTATATTGAAGAAATATATAATTTTTTTTATATTTTTAATTTAATTAAATACTGTTTATATTATATATTTTTCTTAGATAAATTTTGAATAATGAAGTAAGTTAACTTTACGCATAGGAATGGAAATGATATCTATAAGTTTGCATATAAAAGTAATATATAAATAAGAAATATACATATGTATATTGTTCATATTTTTGAATTAAATTAAGTACTTTTTATTATAAACTTTTTTTTATTATACATTTTTCTTGTATAAATACGAGTTAAATATATAAATAATGTGGCCTTTACTTTAAAAACAAATCTTACTTCAGGCTGAAAATTAGGACCTTCTTAGCATTGACTTGTTAAAGCTGTCTTTTAGTTAAAAAATTATTTTATTTATAAAATAAATCATTTGGTATATAGCATAATTTTATTTAAGGTATAGGAAACACTTAAGTTTCTTCTATATTAATTTAAATACCTTCTTTATCTTGGTCTATAAAATGAAGACAGTTTATTTGAGACTCTTGTCTTTAAGACAGCTCAGTTTTGTCACCATTTTATCATTTATTTTTTAAATATAAAAGAAACTAAAACTTATTTTATTTTAATTTAAATACCTCATTTCCTTTAGTATAAATAATTAAGCACAATTTATCTGAAGTTCTTGTCTTTCAACCAGCTCAGTTTTCTGAAGTTTTTTTTTGTGGCTCTCAAGCTGCCAACACATTTTATTATTTGATTATTTTTTATTTATGCCACTTTGGCTGGCGGCTTTTGAAATTGTAACTGTAACTGTAATACTCCGATATATATATCTGTATATATATATTATAGTAACTGTAACTACAGCCACACACAGAAACAGAACGTTGCCACACCTTTTCCTCGAAGCTGGATTTACTGAATACTGCCTTTTATATGTACATATGTAATAGATATATGTATATATGTATAATTTATTTTCCTTTAGTTGGTGTTTTTGTTTTAGTTCGCGCCCGCACATTCGGCACACACAGATACAATATAATAAAAAATAAAAAAAGAAAAACAAAAACTCACACATGGCGAAAGGAAAGTTGGCAACGCGAAAAACTCGAAGCTGGAGTTTCGCATTTTGTAGATCAATCTTAGAATGGGCTTGTGCCGTTAGCCGGCGGCAACGGCGCTCACTAAAATGTGGTTTGTCCTTGGAGAATGTGGCAAAAAAAAAAAGGTAGAAAACAAATATTATAATATATATCTGTATGTCTATGCCCACTGTTACCATATCCGTGCACACAGAGAAAAAATCAGCAAGGAACTGCTCACATTCAAGATTATCCTGAAGGAATAAATGGAAGCAAATGTAATACCAGATCGAATGCCTATATCATATAGCTGCAATATTATATATTATATATCATATATCATCTGATCAAGGCAATACATCTGGATAACCAGGAAGAAGCTCACATCGATAATTCCATAAAAAACCTTAATTGAAGAGTCACCACACTGACAAAAAAAGATAACCGTGTTTCCTCTACTGAGTTAAGTCTTAACCATTACATTTTTAAAATATAATGAGTAAAAACAATAAAAATAAATAGGTTTTCCTCCAAAAATTTGCGTACTCTACAAAAAACCAAACCTTTTTCAAGGTTTAAAATTATTTGGAATATGAAGTATGAAATTAAAATTTGAAATTTGAAATTGAAATAAAGTAAATGAAATGAAATATTTAAGATTTGTGTATTTTTGTATAGAAAATATTAATTTTTATACTTAAAAAAAATATGGTGAAAACTATTTTACGTAATGGATAACTAAAGAGATAAGATAATCAGACATATACTGATTATAATTATTTAAATTATTGTTCTTATAGAGGATAACTAAAGAGATAAGATAATCAGACATATACTGATTATAATTATTTAAATTATTGTTCTTATAGAGAAAAGTACTATATTTAATACCATATTTAAAGATTTTCTCAATGCATGAATCATACATTTTTTTAACTTACTGCAAAGACACAGAAAAGAAAAACATTAAAGCATTTAAATATAATATAATATAATATAAATATACAAAATATAGTTTTATAAATATTAGGAAGTTATTTTGGTCTTTAACCATTCTTGAAAAATGTAGTATTTATATGTTATTAAATATTTATATATTAAATATATATATATATACATATTTCATATTTATAATTGAAAAAATTGACTTTAGCAGTATAATTTATCTTGGGAAATATATATATATATATTCATATATATATATATATATATATTTCTCGAATTATATTATATATATATATATTTTAAATTAAAATATTTTAATATATATTTTCTTCTGGTGCACAGGTACGAATACGACTATGAGTATGAGTATGGGTATGAGTACGAGTATGAGTATGATTATGAGTATGTATTGCACATATAGCCACGAATATAATTGTGCCGTTATGTTTAGCGTTGGCGCCGCACCCAATGGACCTCCACATCCCCCGACCTCCTCCCTCACCCACCCATCCCCCTGATCCCCATATATCCCCTCCTCCAATTAGATTCGATCGGGCAAGTTTTATTTCTCGTTGTTATTGTTATTGTTGCCAGCGATTGCCTTAGTTTGCCTTTGTCTAATGGTTTCGATTATTGGTTGCTTTTATTTTCCGCCTTTTCACCGGGTTTTGAATTTCGTTTCAATATTTTTTGTTGTTTTTTGTATAAATTCCGATTGCGCACTTGTAGAATTAAAGAACTAAGACCAGGAAAACTTCTTTTGATATAAAGAAAAGAATACTTTACTTTACAAGGTTTTGATAATTGTTGATTCAAAGTATTTATATTTTTTATAGTTACTAGAGTAAGATTTAGACTATTTAAAATTTGGAAAATTGGGACTTGGATTGTTTTTTTTTAATCTTTAAGATATGGTACATTATTATAGTTTTACCACTACATTTGTAATTTAATCGTAATTTGAATCATGCTGTCATATAAAAAATATAACTAAAATATTGTTAAAATTGTCATATGTAGATTCGTTATTTTTCAGCATATAACATGAGTTGTAGTTATTTTTTACGATCTTATAATAGTTCTATCAATTTTATTCACATCAGATGACTATATGCTATAGGTACCATAGATACGTTCGATTGATTAAGATCAAGTTCTATTAAAATCTTCAATAAATATTAACAAAATAATCATTTGTCCCTTTGCTTTGATTTATTTACTAAATTCTATCGAAAAATCTAAAGTTTTCCCATTTTGGTGGCCATATTCACAATTTCACCCAGATTAGCAGTTAGTGTCTTCACCTGGGCTAAAGTATTCTGATCCAAATTCATTAGCACTTCACGTTTCACCTGTTTCATCAGCTTGTGTGGCTTCACTGTGATAACTCCCTTACTGGTGGGGATCTGGACATTGGGACAACGCTCTTCCAGCGGCTTTGGCAAGGCCAAAGGACTTCCTGCCTTTGAGAGCACCGGTTCACCGGCACGAGGCCAGCGCAGGAAGCTTAAAGTCGGATCATCATCCATTTTCTCCCTGTCCACCGAATGCACCCGAGTCCAAGTCCTTTGCATAGTGCGAATCCTTTGCGGCTTCCGGTTTACGGAGCGACTTCGTGTGGCTACAGTACTAGTGGGAACTGGGAGAGGATCTAAGAAATCCTCCAGAAAATCTCCTTTTAAGAGTATAGCATCTCACCTGATCTTTGGTAATCAGCAAACTTATCAATCTTGAGGGCCAGAAAGTCCGACCACTTCATATTCAGCAGTTCCTTGTCGGTGGAGTCTCGGAGGAGCTTGATTTGCTTGTCCACCGCCTCCACGTAGCGTCTACCCAGCTCATCGACCTTCAGGAGAGTTGAATCCATTTTAATTTGAGCCAAACGCACCTTCTCCTCCCGTACAGCGTCCTTACGCTGTGCCTTTTTGGCAGCATTATCCCTGAGGCGAGGCATCTTGCCTTCAATTTTTGGAAAGTCTTTAAACCAAGCTGTGACTAGCATTGACTATCTTTGACTAGGATTGACTAGGTTTGACAACTAACTTGAAGTTTACTGCTATTCGGATTGAAATTTTTGGCTAAGTTAGGATGGATCTGTAAGTATCTATGAACATCAAGTAACTATGATCAGTAGTTAACTATGAGCAGTAAGTAAGTATGAACATTAAATAACTGAACAGTAAATAACTCTGAACAGTAAGTATAAATGATCACTAAGTATCTATGACCAGTAAGTATCTATGACCAGTTACTAACTTTAAACACTGATAAACAATGACTTGCAACTTTAATAACACAACACATATCAGATACTTGGCTGGCAGCAGTCACTTCGTTCCGGGGATGTTTGAACCAGTTGGGAATCATATGTCACATGTGCGAAAGTTTTGTTTTTGAACCAATTTAAGCTATTTGAAGGAAACTATGGAGTTATTCTTCTATATAATTTTACTAGTATATAAATTGGAGCATAGCGAATCGGTGGACTATATATATACATATATATAGCTGCTATAGGAACAATCAGACGATTTATAGAACTATGATCAGTAATTAATTACGATCAGTAAGTCACTATGAGCACTAAGTAACTCTGAACAGTAAATATCTGTGAGCAGTAAGTAGCTCTGAACAGTGAGTAACTATGATCAGTAAGTATCTATGACCAGTAAGTATCTATGGCCAGTAATTAACTATGATTAGTAAGTACCTACGAGCAGTGAGTAATTCTGAACAGAAAGTATCTATGAGCAGTAAGTAACTCTAAACGGTAAGTATCTATGACCAGTTACTAACTTTAAACACTGATAAACAATGACTTGCAACTTTTAAAACACAACACATATCTGGGACTTGGCTGGCAGCAGTCACTTCGTTCCGGGGATGTTAGAACCAGTTGGGAATCATAGGCCACATGTGCGAGAGTTTTGTTTTTGAACCAATTTAAGCTATTTGAAGGAAACTATGGAGTTATTCTTTTATACAATTTTACTAGTATATAAATTGGAGCATAGCGAATCGGTGGACTATATATATATACATATATATAGCTGCTATAAGAACAATCGGAAAAGTTAAAAAAAAAATAGAACTATTCCAGTTGTCAACAGATTTTCAAAAAATTTTATATGTAGCCGTTATAATTTAATCTATATTTTTGTGTTACATTTTATGAAAATCGGACTACTATATCATATATATAGAAACGATCGTTAAAAATAGCGGAAAATGCAAAGAACAGTGAATGAAATGAAAGCGGGCATTACTTTATTGTTTTTTAAAATAATTATTTTAATTTATATTGCATTAATTCCTAGTGATCGAATCACAATCTGCAAGGATATACAAACTTTAGCTTGCCGAAATTAGCTTCCTTTCTTGTTTATTATTATTATTATTATTAATTTTTTGTAAAAATTCTTTATGTCAATTTTCCACTTATTTAGTTTTAATTATTTAGTATTCATTAATTTTGCATTTAATATTATTACCCCTAATAAAAATCAACACAGAAGAACTTAGTCCGGCTTAGTTATGGATTTTTTAAACTTTAAATTCTCCACATAAAATATATCGATAAATATTGATCGTATTATTGAAGACGGAGCAAAGTGCAAAGTGCAGCTTGAGTGCAATTTTGTGAGCTTGCGATATGTGGTAAATCCGGATCGGATCACTATATACATAAAAACATAAATAAACACATCAATTTTCCATTCCACCGATTGATAACAACCCTTATTTACTGGAAAGATAAGAGTCTAGATTTCAAGTCAATAGATTCCAAGTCAACCTCGCTGTTATTTCAGTTTATTCAGAGATATGAGCGAACATTCACCTGTTTATTATGGAGCGGATGCGGTGCGTCGTGTGCTCACCTGGCCACTGGTCAATGGAGCGGTGGAATCGGCACTAAAGGCGGTGGTCAAGGATCAGGGATCCCCCTCTCCAGGCTCATTTGCCATCCAACCGAAAAGGATTATGACCAACTGTGGCGATCGTAGCCGGATCCTCTTTACTATGCCCGCCTTCGTAGGAAACTATAGTCTTGCCTCGGAGGAGACTAGCTCCCGCTCCACGCTTGCCTGCAAGCTGGTGACCTCCTTCCGTGGGAATCCTCAAAAGAAACCCCCGCTGCCCAGTGTCCAGGCCCATGTTTTGTTGTTCAATAGTGAAACAGGCGAACTGTCAGCCATAATGGAGGGCACGGATCTGACCACCTGGCGCACTGCTGCCGCCTCTGTGCTGGCCACCAAATATCTCTACTTCCGGCGCTTCGGTTCGCAGGCGGAAATGGACAAGGAAATCAATGTGGCCATTGTGGGTTGTGGTGTACAGGGACAGATTCATGCCATCAGCTTTTGTGCCAATTTTCGGGTGAAACAAATGACTTTATACAATCGCACAGAGTCAAAAGCTCGAGATCTGGCCGAGAAACTAAAACAGGAAATGGATTCCAAGAAACAAACTACAATAGTTGTTTGCTCAAGTCCGGGAGAGGCCTGTGAGGATGCCGATGTCATTTGCATAGCCACATACTCCCGAGAGGGGCTCATCCATGCCAAGGATTTGAAAAAGTCCAGTGTCCATATCAATTGTGAGTCTGAGAGATAAGTTTCCATTAGTTTACAGCAAATTCTCAAACTATCCTGATTAACTTTATTAGTTAAATTATTATTTACCTTTTTTAGCTGTGGGCGCTGGAGAAGTTCACTTTGGGGAAGTGGCTGCTGATGTCTATCACCAGGCAAAGGTCTACGTGGATTGCCATGCCAATGCCGAGGCCGAGTTGAAAGGTCTACCGGCACCTATTCAAGGCGAAGTGGGAGCTGTAATCCTCAATGGAAGTTATCCCGCAGAGGCGGGCATCTCCATTTTTCAATCAATGGGTAAGTAACCATATAGAACTAATCAATAATACATTACAAATAGCTTCTTAATATTAGTATCAATAGTAAAGTCACACAGTTAGTTTAAAATATTTACAATCATCTTTTAAAGGAATGGCTTCGGAGGATGCCTGTGTGGCACAGGCAGTGCAGAATGCAATCCTGCAGCAGAGCTCCTAACCCAAGCATCAAAACTACCAGTTATGTTTAAAGTTTAAACCTTCATGTGTATAAGTATGCGTATATTAGAAAAAAAAAAATATATGATTTGGAAACATAACAATCGCTACAAACTACAACAAGACCGACCCCGGCGACGTCGTCGTCACTTCCAGATCACAGTCACATTCGTATCCTTCTCAATGTCCCGCTCAATGGTGCTGGGCGAGAGCCCGGTCTTGCAGCATATCTCGTCGAAGCTAATCAGACCGGTGTACATCTTTTGACGCCCGGAAGGCACTGATCCCGTAAACACCGGATACTTGTGAATGCAGCGTATGAAGCGGTGCTGCAGCCCAAAGATCACCATTCGACGTTCGTCGATGTTGTTTTGGTGCGGAGAGAGGCGCTGGCAGATTGCCCGCAGGGTGACGCCGTGCGTCATCGAAGCGTAGAACTGGAAGATGCGCTGCACGCTGGGCAATGTCTTGTCCGGCCGCAGGGCCACATATTTACGGCACGCTCCGCTCAGCGCTGCACTCTGGATGAGATGCTTCAGATTCTGTGTCATGTACACGTTGCTGTACTTGAGAATAGGCAGCAACTGGACGACGCCATAGTAGACCAGATTCTGTATGCACGACTTGACCAGGTCTGTTTCCACATCCGCTTCTGCGGCAATACGAGCAACGTGATTTATTCCGTTAATGTAAGGCAGGATCTGCAAGAAATCGACTTAGGATAGGCTTGAAAGAAGCTAAGGAAGTACTCGCTTACCTGTTGCGTGGTCAGATCCCAATTATCCAGCGGCGCGTCCCTTAGATTGGCCAGCAGAAGCGGTACCATGTGATCCTTGACCTGCGGCGGATCTGGTTTATGCATGACAATTTTTAAATGGATGGTATTGTCGCCCTCGACAATGGTGGCCACCTTGCGTTCGTTTAGGTCCCGCAGCACCGTCTCAAAGATGTTTTGCAGGCGGCGCTTGTCGTCCTCGCGCGATAAGAAGCAAGACTCCTCCTCCATCATGATGAGATACTCCGATAGCTTCTTCACCACTGGCTCATATTGAACACTGCGGGCCCGCGAATCGCAGACGAAGCAGAGATTGAAGAGGAAGGCGTTGCGGACGTACTTTTGCTGATCCTGAATGCCCACCGGATAGCCAACGATCTTTACGTCCATGGCGTTTACGGTGAGAATGCAGCGCTGCAGATGCTGCTTGGGTATGATGTACACGTTGATGGCATCGAATACGTCCTTGGAAATGTAGTTGTCGGGCACCTGAATTGGATTGGGTTATTACTATCTTATCATTCCTATATCCCGGGAACGCGCTCACCTGGCAGCTTATTTTGCAGCCCGCTGTCGCATGGAATTCGCTTAGGAAAATGCACCGAATCTTGCCCTCCGTGCTGCCACCTGCTCCACCTCCGCCTCCTCCTGCTACGCCTACGCCGCCGCCACCGCCAGTGCCAGCACCACTGCCACCAACCTGTCCATGTCCATTTGTAATTGCCGCTGCATCGTTTGTGTGGGTGTGCATGCTGTCAGCTTAATGTAACTATCACCGCATCTGCATCTTCGCAATAAGATCGAAAGGCACCGTGATAGGTTGGTTCTGCCGATTTAGCAAATAAATATTCCAACTTAATTGATAATAACAATTAACAGAGTGCCGGAACTGTCTAACAGAGTGTACTAATGTTATTAACAGAAAATAGACGCAAACAGCAGTGTGGCCGCCGCTAAATATCGTTACTGAGAGAGAAATATACCAATTACCATTTTAGGGTTGCACTTTAACAGAATTGGTATTTTTTGTTATTATTCAGCACCGGTCACACTGCGCCGTACAAAACCAAACTGAACTCAAAACAATATGGAAACGTAAGAATTTCTTTGATTTTCCCATTTATTATAAATAATAACGTCTTTATTTTGCACACACCCAGTATTAATCCCACGTTCTCGTACCTCACCAATCTGGAGGTGATGCAGATACTGCAGAAAATCAAGAGCACCAAAAAGAAGTTTGGCATGCGAAATTTGGCCACAGTTACCTACGAGGCAAGTTCTTATTCTTAAAATGTGCTCATATTGGATGGTAAATAACACAATATTTGTATTACACAGGCACTGCAGTACCTGGAGGAGACGCCCTGCAAGACCCAAACCCGGGAGTCTATCATAAACTATGTGAAAGATTTATCTTCCTACCGACTGAAATCTCACGAGGTCTTGCAAATGGTCAATGATCCGCCAACGAGTGCACTTCACACACAGCTGGTAAGCATTAGCTAACAAGAATAGATGAAGAAAAGCACGCACATAACTTCACTTTTATGTTCCTTTAGCTTATCGACGACAATAAGGCTCCACTGACGGATGAGGAGAACGAGAAGATCATCCAGCTAAGCTACAAACACTTCCATGGTTCGGGAGAGACCAAAGAGGCGCCGGCTGAGCCAACTGCAAGGCAAAAGGCGAAGTCTGCTTCAGCAGCAAAGGCGGCAGAACCAGTGGTTGTAGAAGCCCCAGCATCAGACGCTCCACCGGAAAAGGCACCAGAACCAGAGGTGGCAGAAGCCCCAGCTTCGGAGGCTCCAGCGGAGACGACACCAGAACCAGAGACTGCCGAAGCCCCAGTATCCGACGCTCCACCAGAGAAAGAACCCGAACCAGAGACTGACAAAGCTCCAGCATCCACAATTGCAACTCCAGCATCCACAATTGCAACTCCAGCAGAAGAGAGCCAACCAGAAACCGAAACTACACACTCTGAATCACAGGCTGAGCCAACGGAGGACACAGCAATGGAAACCGATGATAAAGAGCCCGAAAGTTAGGCAAATAAATGACCAGCCACACACTAAACTCGTTTAACGTTTCATAATTCTTTTTTTGTTTTGTGTTTTGTTTGATGTAGCGTACAAAATAAGCTAAAAAAAAATTATTAAATTATTCAAGTGCTCAACGCTCAAGAAGTATTCAACGCTTCTGATCGCCCAAATCCTCGATAACGTCCTCATCAATTTCCGACCACTTTTCGGGTATAACATCGAACAGGTCGTCCTTTACATCGCCCTGGATAACGATCTCATCGTCGCCAGTCACCGACGAGCCACAAGCAAACTTGGTGCCAAAGAACTTGGCGGCCACCTTGAGATCAATATCTGTACAGAGAATAACAATGAATATACAATAAGGAATGGAAGTTGCAGACAAAATCACTCACCGAAAGTGCTCAGTCCTGTGACGACAGTCACCGACTTCTTTTTGCCACGGGCAGCCCGCGAGACGCAGATCTTCTTGGGCACATCCTCCTTCTTCTTGACGCGCAACAATCCCTTGCCGCCGCGCTTCTGGCGCTTCTTGTCATCATCCGTGCCATCGGCGGCGGCTGCCTCTTCCTCAATCTTCAGCCTTTCAAAGTCATCAGGCATATTACGCTCCAGCCATTCCTTGCATTTCTCGTACTCCGGATAGTACTCACAATACTGGGGATGAGAACAACAAACACACACATACCGTGTACACTATGGATTTTTGGCCGGCTTTGATTTTCGGCTCCCTCACCTCAATTGGCATCGTGCAGTGACCACAGTACTTCATCTGGATCGGATAGGTAACACCCTCGCGGGGACCCACCTGCAAGCGGTCAGCCACGCTGTTGCCGCCCAGTCCCACGTCTTCGTTCGTCATTTGAATAGGTTTTGAGACGATTGTCCGGCTAAAATGTTAACTTCTGTTCAGGGAAAGGCCAAAAATTTGCAAGACGAGTTTAGCACAGCACACCTCGTAACCAGTGTGACCGTAGATTGTTTTAGAATTTTGCTGCAGTAGCGCAAATATACCAAAATAATTATGAAGCATGTATTGCACATAAAATATCGTTTTAAAACAGAGAGAAATATTATTAAAACGACGAAACCTGTGCAGCAGTGAGAAATATGAGCATGAGTGCTCGTGAGCGCTTTTTAAAAGGTCGTTGGGGTAGGTAGACTCAAAATACTAGAAAGTTTATTAGCGCTGCCAGATGTCACTAGGGTACTTTTTTAGTATTTCCAGGGCGAATTGCAATAAAATATACTAAAATTTAATACAACTTCCTGTGTTCCTCTCTCCTCTCGGTCTCTTTTACACATTTCAAAATATGGATACCGCCATAAACAATTACATGCAGAATAGTCCAATTCTGCAGTTTCAAAGAATATAAACAGTCTTGCTATTTAAATTGGGATAATATATTCTGTGCATTGGGCAATTATAAGTATCATTATTTTTAAGACATCGAAAGTTTCTTGTTTTTCTTAGGCCTTAAAATGAAAATCTGAAATAATTAATAAATACAAAAATAAGAATAAAATAATGAGAACATATTATTTTAAAAATTGGCTAATTCACTATGAACATGGAAGGGCAAGGAACCCGGCCAGGTTCTGTCAAAAATCCCCAAAGTTGTAGAATATATATTTTTTTTAAATTTTGCAATTAATCTTTGTTTTTGTACCTTAAAAAAGAATTGGGGTTTATTATTTTTCTAAATTCTATATAAGCAAAGAAGTACTACATACAAATAATACTTAAGAATCTTCCTAAAATATCTTTATCCCAAAAAGTATGCCACGAATTTAGAATTCATCTTTGTGCCCGAGCATCGGATTGCTATTTTAGCCACCTTTTGCTGCCTGTTTTCTGTTTTATGGCCAAAACGAAGAAGCTCTCCGTTATCGGATAAATGGGCGTCGTGTGTCGTCGGCCCAAATTTAGTAAATATAACAATTTTATGGCAGCCATGGCCTACAAAATCGGCAAGCCAAGCGAGCGGTTGTCGAGGGACTGTCCCAGGGTCAAGTGCGTTTGCCTTTATTGTTATTCTTGCCGTTATTGTTATCCCGCAGGCGCACACGACGTATGCGTGATGTGGGCACATGGGTGTACCATTGAGACGACCCACTTCCGGACGCATCCGGGTCTCGACCTTCCGTCCGCAAACGCCGGACGAATGCTGATTTCTCCTGATTTATATTATTTTATATTGTTTTGTTATTTAGTTGTGTTTTGTGACGATCTCAGTCGCATTTTGCTGCAATTATACAGAATATGTGTTCAGGTTTAATTTGGCAATTAGTTAACAATGGCTAATTGACGGGCAATTAGCCAAAACTGCTATAAAATGTGGCAGCCGGAAGGGATCTGCAAAAGGTGCGACATGGAGCTGTTGGCCAGAAGCTTAGTGGGTTTGGGTTTGTGGATCCTGGCCCTAATGGCTGTAAGCCAGGTAAGGCTTTTCATATTTACAAATAATATTTTCCTTCAAGGACTTTCCTTTAGTTTATTAATTTCTCTATTTTATTTTAATTTAGGGCACCAACTTTGAAGTAATTGGCGATGAGAAAACAATGGACATTTACTGCAGTGCCGAGGAGGATCAGGGGGATATATCCTTTCGCGAATTTGTGGACGTTAGTGGCTTGACTTTCGATGTTGCCGATGATTTGGAAACTCTATTCTACAATGGTGATATCAAAATGCTTATGGATGTGCCTCAGGGTCCCATTACCATGCAGGTAGATGTATTCCGCTGGCAAAGGAGTCAATGGCTTCCCACACCCCTTTCACTGAAGCGGGATAACTTTTGTCAGTCTCTCCTTAGTCCTTACGAGCTCTGGCATCCGATTCTCAGAAATATTCCCAAGGAGCAGTTGAAATGTCCACCCACCAAAGGTGTAAGTTTTTACCCATCTAACTAGGAATATTTCAGGGCTTGATTTTAATTTTAAATAATTTTTCCAGCACATTTACACCCTGACCAATGTAAGCAACCATTTGTTTGTAAAGAACATGCCCAATATGGATATAGCCGGTGACCTCAAGGCGGTGGTTCACCTAAGTGCCGGTGGCCACAAAACCTGCGCTGTGGTGTTCGTCAAAATCTATGCCAATTGACCCTGACAATGGGTTTGGAAGGTAGAAGCTGGCGGTTCCAAAAGGTGCTCTAAAAAGGAATCTCATCAAGATCCGGCTGTTTGCTTAGTTTATAGTGAGTATTATCTGGCTGCTCTGCTTTTTTATGACCTGATTTGGTAGTGTTTACTTGGCTTCAATGGCGCGTCCCCCGTTTACGGCTCCTAACTAAATGATTTGCAAATAAAACCGAAATATTTCATATTCATGCACTCGAAACGGAATGTCAGGTTGCCTTTTTTTTTTTTGTCAGTTTGTAGTATTTCTTGGTTATTTCTGGTGGCGCTGGCGATAAGCCAGTTCTCGAAATGGGAACTCAGCCCAGTAATCCCCTTTCTAGTATTTGCCAAAAAGCTCAAATGCGGCGCCATGCCTCGGTCACATCTCCATCTTCATCTCAGGTTCCACACAGATCCTCCCCACATCGAAATTCTCATCAACTGAACTCATTCGCAACTGCGCGTGACGATTACTTGTATAAGATGATTCCCCCGTTCTGCTCCGACTCTGTCTCTGGACTTTGGTGATCCCCCAAGATTTACAATGTTTGTGGATTCGGGTTCACCGGTTTTTCTTATTAAATGAATACATTTAATTGTTAACTGCACGTGGTCTGCCCCGGCCTGAGTGCAGTTGAGTTTTGTCATGTGAATCAATTTGCGAGTTTCAGAAGAGGAAAAGTAATTAACTTAAGGTAAACTAACACACATTTAAAGATTTTAATTACAACAATTTCTAGACTAAACTAGAAAATATTTTCAAAGAAATATCGTATTCAAAAATATATTTAGTAATAAATATGCTCTCACAAATTGTAGTTTTAAAGGTTGCACAGATTTGTGAACAGTCAATAAATCCTTTTTATATTTTTCCTGTCACCTGTTCAACATAACAACTAATTTAAATAATAATCAATAAAAAAATAAATACTATGTACATTTTCATGGCAGTCCTTGTGAAAATCTTTTGATTAAAAGATAATGCTACTTTATTCAATAATTTCCAGTAAATTTAGAAACAATTCCCCTTTAAAATCTTTATTAAGTAATAAATACCCCATCAAAATTTGTATTTAAAAAAGTAACAAAAATTTGATAACAATCAATAAAGTCTTGTAATATTTTTCCTGTTACCAACTCCCTCGAAAATCTAGTCTAATAATTATTAATTAAAAAGTCATAGATGCAAACATAAACATTATTTACATTTTTATCGCTGTCCTTCTGAAAATCTCTTGATTGAGAAAGATAAAGATACTTTAGTCTGAGTTATTACCTAGTTATTAATTAAATGCAATGACGAAATGTATCTCAACTTGTTGGAAGTTCAATTTCCGCTTTTATTGTCAATGTTATAGAATACTTATGACTCTATTTATTATCTTGTTTTGTAATATATAATAGGCAAAGTTGAGTCACAACAAACGATAAATCCCAAATATATATAAATAGTAATAAATTTTACCTCACTCGACGTGGCATATTACGCCTATTTGCGACTTTTTTAATATTATTTAGAGAGAGTTATGAGGTCAAGAGATTTTGCTATAGAGGGTACTGGAAAATTCGATAATGATTTTTGGTTGAAAATTAATTTGAACTACTGCAACAGCTGGCAGTTATCAATATGCAATTGAGATCGATTGCGATTGCAATGCCCTGGGCTAGAAGACAGTGCGGTTCATGAGAGTAAGGAGTATAATAAGAAATTGAACAAAATTATTAAGATGTTTGGAAATTTATTTATAGTAAAATAAATGTAACATATAATATATATATTATAATATATAATAAGCCTTTATATTCCTGCTGAAAATATACAATTTACATTTGATATATAAATAATAAATTAAAATAATTAAATATTACTGAATAATTAAGAGTATGTATCTATCCTTTAAACCATATTAAGTTATTAATTCTTATATTTGTTATTAAATATTCAAACTTTAAGAACTTGAAAACCTTCTCTCAGGAACTCTCTGATCTTTTTGTATCCTTATAGTATTTAAATTTAAATTTAAACCTTATTTTCCTGCACTGCACTGTTTTTTAAATGCTAATTTCGCATCGAGTGATCATGCAAATGCAATATAATATAATCGGAATTCATATGCATCAATTACTAAGTGTATATAGTGGTGGTCACAGCTGATGTGAGCCGGCAAAATGCCCAGATACAAACACTATCCATAATCTAAAGACCGCTTTGAACTGGTGTCAGTCAGTTTTTACCGGTTTCGATTGATTACAAAATCAAAGATATTGATTATTTTAAAAGGTAAATATACATATATTGATTAAGGATTTTTGATCTGTAACTTAATCGAAAATCTTAATTTGTAAACATAATATATAATAAGTAGATTAAGTATATTTGATTAGTAATGTTATGTTATTTTTGCCTTGTCTTATTATCAATGATTATCTTATACATTGTAAATAAAAATAATAAATAATTAAAACAAAAGAAAAATAATTAAGGTTCTGTATATTTTGTGCCTATATTTTTGATATTACTTAATTCTAGCTTCCGCATTTTTATATAATTTATTTAAACAAGTTTAGGTACAGAAGGATTTTCTATCCATTGACTCACATTTAAAACTTTTGCTTCATTTGTATAATAATTGTTAATTAAATTTTTATAGGCTTGATAAATATATATTTAAATTTAAATTATATTTAAATTGCTTTCGAAATTAAAGCAATTTGAAGTCAGTTTACTTGCAGCGTTCTGAAAAAAGGCTCCCACTAAATCACCCATAACTTAAAAGCAGCTTAAAAATATTTTTATGGTTTAACTTAACAGCAGATCACATATATTATATAAAAAACTTTAAATACTTAACTTAGAACATTAATTCTTTAGGAAAAATTTATATTTCTTCCATGTTTTAAAGCCGTTCAGACAGATGGGCTTTCGGGTCGTATACGTAATATTTTCTGAAGCTGTATTATCTAGAAGACCAATTATCAAAATTACCAAATTATAATTCTTTGATCTTTAACCTAAACCCTTTAAGAAATCCGTATATTTCTGGCAATGTTTTGCGCGCATTAAAATAGATGGCCTTCAGGTCGTATACGTAATATTTTCTAAAACTTTTTTGTCTAGAAGACCATAATATGAATATATATTTACCAAAATTTTAGGTATTTGATTTTGAATCTAATATTTTAAATAAAAATGTATATTTCTTTCCATGTTTTGAGACCGCCAAGGTAGATGGGCCTTCGGGTCGTATGCGTAATATTTTTATTCTTTCACTGTTTATTTGTGACATAAATACTAAGATTAAACCATTTAACTGTATAACATTTAGGCGCTTTGTGTTATTAATCCTTACCCCCCACAGATTCCATTGTTTAATATTAAAATAGGGTACAGATATATCCCTGAAACTAAAACTATTTGCCATAAGACCCTCCAGCGAGTAGTTGCACGGCAAACAAGTAAATAAACTAAGTTTATGGAGTTATAAACAAAACAGTAGCCCAAGTGCACATCGTTCAGATTCTTACTATACTATATATACTGTATATTTACTATATATATATAGAATGCAGGCTGTTATAGCTGGTACTGCCTGCTGTCCGTAAATTGCACGAATTAGGCGCCTTTATTTACCGCATTTATATAACTATCAGCTGTAAGTAAATATAAACAAATGGGTGGAAGGCACTGAGTATATATTTTATGGGAAAATTAAAAAAAAAAATAAAATAAATAAACAAATAAGTAAAACAAGAAGAAGAAATGTTACGAAATGAAAATAAATAGAATGTCAGAGTTTTGTGCATTTAGAAGGCATTAAATGTCGCACACAAAATGTGTTGAAGTTCTGAAAAGATACAGCTAAGCGGAAGATACAGTTTGCAGTTACAGATACTACTACTACTCTCTCTCTCTCTCTCTCTCTCTCTCTATTTATACTATATATATACTATAATATACTATACTTTACTATAACATTCCCAAAGAGCGTGCGTGATTCTGTTGACTGGCTTTTGACGTTAATATAGTGATAGTTATTGTTAAAAAGCCCGTAACAGACATTGATTCTAATTTGCATGCATTTCGTAATGTGTATTAAATAATCGCAAAATGTTATAAAACAATTTGTAAAGGTAAAGAAAAGATATAGTTTATTTATTTACGAACAATTGTTAAGCAATTTGGCAAGAAATGAAATGCATTTTCAACTTCTTTTTGAGGAAATAGATTAGTTACTTTAAAATAATTATTACTTCTGGTTTTGTATACTTCTAATAATTAGCTCCCTTTTTCTTAGTTTTTTTTTGCAAATTTTAATTTTTATTTAGTTTAAAATAATTGCTTAAAAACCCCATTAAATACCTTGGAAACCACCTATCAAGGGCATTCAGCCCCATTGCGTACATTTCCTGCTCTCTGACGTTGCACTTTTAATTTGTCGCATGTCGTTAAAAAAAAATTGCAAAAAAAAGTAAAAATAAAAAAACACCCCCACAACCACCCCAACCAACCCACTCTCATTTGATTAAATAAAGAAACAGCATTTAATCAAAATGAGAAGAGCAAACATTGCAGAGTACACACCGTATGCCATGCCGTTCGCATTTCGTTCATTAAGCAAATAAATAAATGAGAGAGTGTATTAAATTAATTAAATAAATAATATTTTCAGGAACAAATAAATAAATAACACATTATATTGCGCAAAAAGGCAAACAATAAAATGTTGAGACGACACGCAAATGGAAGACTCGCTTATATTTTTTTTCGATGGCCGCCGGAACGCCTTGGAGCCATTAAACCGAGAACTAAACACAATTCCCAGACCTTTTTTTTCGATATCATCCTATCACGGCCTACAAAACAGGGAATTAGGGATGGTAAAACTATCGCTGCGATATTTTATGGTATTTATAAATATTTTATTTATCTTAAAAATATATCAATATGTGGTTTCTGTATTTAATTAATATTTAGTTCACTTAATATCAAGACAAATGATATGCTGTTAAAAATATTATAAAGAAATAAAGATCGAACTACATTAATCAATTAATAAATACACAAAAATATAGAGAAATAACTATATGAATAAATTATCATTATTATATGATTAAAATAACAGAAAGTAATGAATAAAATTATAAATAAACGATTACTTTCGATACATTTAAAATCATCGATATTCAGCTCAATTAAAAAATTATGAATACGTTATACGAAGTGCAGCTCTTGGATCATGAATAAAAAACCAAAAATCGATCAACTTCATTAATATTTTGTTTTTAGAAGACCTAGCTTAAAGAATTTTATTTACTTAAAATGATAAAGCAATATTTATTGCCTTGATTATCTTTCAAAAGTAATATAATCCCATATTATATATCATACTAGAGATACAAAAAAAGTAACAAATCGATTTTCCGATAGTTTTTCGATACTCTTCCAATCATCTTTTATTCGATATTCATCTGCAGTATCAAAATAATCAAATACGGAATACGGAATACGTAGTACGGATCATGGATCACGTGACCGAGGCCGGGACATGCTTCGCTGATTTGTCTTTATTATTTGCCTAAACCATTTTCAATTAGTTGTATGCCATAATTGATAGATTAGCTAAATATGGCAATCATGCAACGCTGATGAAGGTTGTCAGACTGTCGGATTGCCGGATTGCCAGATTACCGTAGAGAGACTCCCTTTCGGGGGGCCCAGGTAATTTGTGTGTAATTACGTCCATCCCATTACCTAATTGCCAGCTATCATTGTGTAAACGGTACGGTACAATGGATATATATTTATATATATTATATATATATATATTTATTTATAAGGAAGCTGAGCCGTTGAAAAGCGATCCGGGGATCACTTATCACGCCTGAATGAAGCCAAATCAATGATCATCCAGTCGAGTGCGTAATTAGGAACAAGGGGGATCCAGGCAATAAGATCTACATCTCGAGTGATCAAATCCAATTGTATTGCAAATAAAAATATATATTATATACTATATATTTTATGCTCTGATTGAAACAGTTGAACAGTTGCAGCAAGCGAAACTTCAATTGAGTGAACTGATCTAGGAAAAGAAATTGTAGATTTTCAATTAAGCTTGATTAAGTTGTTAGATCTTAATAAATGGGGAAGTGATTTCATAACTAATTAGGTTTGGAAACAAAAAGAAAAGTTGCAAATTAAAGTCTTTAATATATAAGTAAATAAAAATGATATTGATAGGTAAATTAAGTTCTTTATGAAATATTTAATCAAACCATCTTTAAGCTTAAAGCATATATATATTTTAAATTAAACATTAAAAAACAATCTTGTATTCAAATCTTTTTTATATATATTTTATAATAAACTAATAACTTATATTAACTTATACAATTATGGCTTTTTAATGTTCAAATTCGCAATATAAATAAACAATACTAAGCCATTAATGCCTATGATATTTAGCAAATCTAAAATCATGATTTGAGTTGTTATAAACATATGTTCACTGAATTCCACTTTGTATATATTTAATGATGATTCATCCACACAAATTTAATACTAATTAAGACCTAATGAACTTCAAATCCTAGTTCTGGATTTTTTATTTTAATGAGCTCATTTGATTGGAAACTTGTTTAAAATTATGCTAAATAAACAAGCTTGATTTAGTGCCAATAAATTCGATTTATGCATGCTTTGTTGTTTTTAAATGGGTATTAATATTATTAATATAAATATGGAAAGGGTAATAAATGGCATAAATTATTAAAATATATTATAACATATTAAAAAGGTATGATAATTAAGATGGGTAAATGTTTAAAAATGTAGAAAGCGTATTTTAAGCGTATATTTATATTTATTTAGTGTTATATATTCTTTCTGAATTTTAGAGATTGCTTTTAATAAATATTAAGGTAATCCGCATAATTTAATTAAATTAAATTTTTATATAAAACAATGCTTTAATTTGATAGAAATCATAATATCATAATAACTTTAATATAAATCATAATTGATTAATGCTTACTTGTCTTAGTTTTGATCAATTTTAAATTCTGTTTCTTAAATCCAAAGCAATCTGGGGGCTTTCGGAAATTAATTTTCTTTCCTCTTCTTTTTTTCAAGGATCCAAATTAAGTCCCTTAATCTCTCAGTGTAAGCGGAAGGCATATATGAAAGCGTCAATTCCCCTTTTGTGGGCTTTTGTCTCAAAGTGTTAAAGCAAATTGACTGCAGCACCCCCTTTGGGGGCGTCATTCCTTAACCCGCTTAACCCCCTTTAACCCCTGATGGCCCACTCCCACTGGCAGAGCAACACTCGCCAAAAGCCACCCGACCGTGGCAAATAATTATTAAAAAAGAAAAATACTACGCTTTAAGGCAGTCTGGCAAATAAGAAAAGGCCCCTCAAAAATGTCACATTTACTCAATTGATTAGCGTAGCGTTTACAGTGCCCCATAAAAGTTTGTGGACGCGTTAAATTGGCATTTATGGCAGGCCATCGCTTTGGATCAAAAACCAATAGGAATCTCTGTCTAGATATTTCCACTAACTGGTTGCATCCGGAACTCCCATCGTCTGCGGTTTTCATATATATTATTGATATATTTTATTGATCTTTTTTTTTGAATTCGAATCGATTTTCTAGCATTTACCTGCGAACGGCAAACACTTTGTCGGTGTTTTTGCGATGGTGGAAAATTTTTGTTTCGCCAAGTTCGCGGTCAATTAATATGCAATTAGAGGCTGCTATCAATTTGCGCAATGTGCAGTCAAATAAAAAAGCAAGCATTTACAATGCGTACGAATTTTTTTTATTGTTTGTTTGATAAGTTTGTTTTTTAGTCTGAGTAAAAAATTTGCATATTGCCAGGAGAAAATTTTCCCTTAAATTGGAGCAGAAGATGCCATTATTTTTTGTATTTGATCTTAGCTAATGGAAAAATGATTTTGAAGATTGATATTGAGTTTTCAATTAGACTTGTTAATGGTTTAATATTTCAATTACAAATTATGGTTGTTATATATTTACAATAATAATTTATGATTTATTATCAATCACTTTGTTCACTTTATTGTTATAATTTAATTCTAATTCTTTGTCTTTTCTTTTCCTTCTTTTTTATACGAGATTACGTATCCGCCATGTTGACCCCGAAGGCTTTTTCTTTCAGGCTAACTGGATTCAACTGGATATTGCTTTTGCCTGGTTTTTCCTACAAATACCAAAAGACCTGAACTGAGGTAAGACTCGGATATAGACATTTCAATTGAAATTGAAAATTGAGCCAGTCATTGGCAATTAACACTATGGACATATACATTAGAGTCCGGCTAGAACTTAATTGCCAGCCAGCCAGGTGAGGCAGGTGATTGCCTTAATTGATCTCACTCTCAACCTGATATCTAAGTACTTATTCTCTGGCGATTTGTTGTGGGAATGGAGAAGGAAGAATGGAGAATGGAGAATGGAGAAGTAAGAAGGGAGAAGTAAGAATGGAGAATGGAGAAGGGAGAGTTGCGACTTCCATCGAGATGGAAAGCGATTGGGGGTGTGGCTTTGGAATGCCAAAGCTGTGGTCTCTATAACAGGTTCAAGGTAAATAAAAGAATATATATATAAATAAATAAAGAAACCGAGAAAAATAAATATATTATAATGCATCTTTTGTTGGTTATATCCGTCTAAATATAACGAACGACTGGTAAACACTCTCTTTTACAAAAAGGAAACCATAAGCATTCAGAACGCATTCTTTAGCCTTTCTTTCTTTCTTTACATAAATCGAGAGTTACCTGTTAGCAATTTCTTAAATGTTATTGAAAGCTATATAAAAAAGTAGAAAAATTTATAAAATAACAAAGCAAAGAAAGTGAACGACAACGAGAATGTTTAAGGAATGAAGAGAGAAAGTTGCCAGAGCTTAATGCCAGTGGGATAAACCCTGACAGCTCAAAAGGAATGTAACTACAGGGAAAATAGTAAAACCCATTTTATATATTATATTATTTTACCTAGATTCAATCTTATAATGCACTTTGATCGACTCTGACCCTGCTAATCACGATCTTATGTTATAGCTAAAATTAGAAGCAAGGTTATTCTTTAACATAATGCATTCCACTTCGATCGGATCGGTTAACAAGAGAGTCATAGAACCTGTATCAATCAGTTCTGCTTGGCTTCCTTCTAGATGTAAGTGGAGAATAAGAGTGGACCAGTAATTAAAATAAATGAAACAAAATAAAATTTAAAATTATTATTTAAATAAGAAAATGAAACCCCCAAAAGAATATGTAAGAAATATAGATGCTTAACTTAAAATTAAATAAATTTTTATTAAGAGAGAGTTTTATAAAATTGGTGTTCTAGGAAAGTTAAATTTTCCTGGAATTTAATAGAAACATATATGTCTCAGTATCTTTTAAATATTAACAAGATATCAAACTTATACATTTTAAAAAGAAACTTATAAAAACTAATACGGTTCCCCAGCAATTTAAATATTTACCCGTACACCACTGCGTATGAGTAATAATACGCTTTGAAGCATCTTAGCTTTAAAGCTTCACCTAAACTCTTTGGATCACCCCAAAAAAGAGCAGATAAAAGAGAGGCTTTAGATATAGTGATATATAATGCTCTCTTTATCGCTTCAACTGGTCAACTTGGCTGCTGCAGAAAACGTGCGGCAAAATCCAAGGCCAGTTTTGCGCAAATTGAAAGCAGACTCGGCATTCTAATTGAAATCCACTTACAAGCGGAGCTCCGCCTGCAGAGAATCACTATTAGAAACACATACATTATGGATAATAAAAAAAAAAACATATAAGATATAAATATATATAAAGGTATGAGAAATCAGAGATTTGATAAAAGCAGGAACTGTGAGCAGGGGCGGCTGTGGGGATCAAGAAACTGCCAACCCTGAGACGGAGACGTAGACCCTCTTGTCAGCCGGTTCTACAAATAAACCCCATGTGCACGCATTTATGGCCGACTCTGTGATGGCTTCTATTGCTATTCCAAAAAAATAAAAAATACAAAAAAATACAAATAAAACAACAGAAAAAATAAACCACAGCTCGTGTGTCTCTTTTCCTGCAAAGCAATCATGTACATATATGTACGGGCTTTTTGAATTTCACGGCACATCTTATTAAATATTCTTTGTGCTGCTGCCTCGCCTTCTTCTTTCTTTGACAGTAAAGACTAAGTATAGTGATTTTGGGGAAAAAACAAGGTCAATTGGGATATATGTTAAGAGGTACTAAAATATATATCTATTATAGGGGTAATAAATATTTAATAATCATGTACTTAACTATATTCCTTTATAATCAATTAAATAAAGAGTTCTGAAAATATATTTTACCTAATGAGTTTATAAAAAATTTTTATATAATATGAATAAATAAAATATTTATATTAGTTTATTCAAGCCTATTTTTAGTCATATTATTACAATTTTTACATTCAGTATCTGCAAAAAGTGGGCCGAGAAATTTCCTAATTGTTAAAGCAAAAGCTTTGAGTATTACTAATACATAAATTAAAATAATATATAAAAAAATATATATAATAAAAACAAGAAAGAAAAGTAACTGCAGGAAAACAAAGTTTGTATACCATTGCAATTTAATTACAATAATATATAAGAGCAAATCGGAAATCGATAATAATCGAAAATAATATATATTTATCTATATTTTTATATGACATTTTTTCGATAAATTAAAGTTTTAAAAACTTCATAACTAAGACAAAAAAGCATTAATTTTAAATCGGAAAGCTTTCCCATGTTAGTTTTAAGAAGGTTAATAAATCTGCATTCTCAATTTAAAATTTTGAAAAATGTAAAATTTTGATGAATTTTTCACAAATTTTACGATGTAACCCCTTATAAAAATTTTGAAAATATTGCACAAAAATTTTTTTCCGCCGGAGATGGCTAAATCGATTCGGCTTTTAATGCTGATCAAGAATATGTATGATTTATAGGGTCGGAAATGACGTCTTCACTTTGTTTTAAGCTTCTGACTAAGGCAAGAGCATAAAATCAACAGTTTCTATATTTCCTTAATCAAGTGTCCCCCTTAAGGAGCCCTCACTGTATTTCTTTGATATATAAACATATAAGTTTTTTTTTTGGTTGAAGCAAACAAATCGGTCAACGGGCAATGTCCCCGGGCACGTTTTTGCTTCTGCCAAAAAAGCCAAGATGAAAAATATAAAACAAAAACGAGCAGAAATAAAAAAGAAACACTCATTTAAACAAAGCTTCCGCAATGGTTTGACTTCTTCACACTTTTGTTATCGTTCACCAGATGGCCTTTTCCTCTTATTTTTTCTCTCAGTGATGCCTGCTCTCCATCTTCTTGTGCGACTCTCGACTTGGGCAATTTTTTATCAAAGATATATAAGTGTATATGTATATATATTTCAAAAACCCCGCCGAGTTCGAAGAACTCTGAGCACATCGAAGAAACATAAACAAAGTCCACAAAAACAACAAAATTTGCACACAAAATGGCCGGGTGTTTTTTTTTTTGTTATATTTTTTCTACTTTAATTTGATTCACATTAAAAACTATTAGAAGCGGTTCAGGGGCCGCTTGTTGACGTTGGCCAACTTCAAGTCGGCCGACTGCACAACACCCAACCAGCCAGCGAATGAGGCAAAAACAAATAAAATACAACAAATACGAAGAAAACAACAAAAAATGTAAAAACACCCAAAAAACAACAACGACAAAAAAAAAGCAAGAGCTCGGATCACTGGTATTTTTAGTATGTGGCGATGATTTACAAGGTGAACCGGTAAGGTAGCCAAGCCAGTTCAAAACCCCAAAGCTCAGGTCGCTTCGGCGGCCCGCTTGAACCACCCCCTCCCCTCTCTGATCAGCACAGAAAAACCACCTGCTCCACCACCGCAGACAAACATTTCGGATTTTATTTGCAAAATCAAAAAAATCCTAAAAAAAAATTAAAAACCCGATTCAAACCGTAAACCGTTTCAGGGGAAACTTAAGGCAAGCTTAGAAAGAAAAGATATCAAGAAACTGCTTACTTTAGTTTCTTAATATATAAAATAAATATATAAATATCAAATTAAATTATTGAAAGATATTTATTTATTTATATAAGTTTATAAGTTTAGTAAAATATTTTTAGATAATAAATCAAAACCGTTTCAGGGGAAACTTAAGACAAGCTTAGAAAGAAAGGATATCAAGAAACTAAAGTAAACACTAAAAATATATAAAAATAACAAGAAATATATAAATATTAAATTAAAATTATTATAAGATATTTATTTATTTCTATAAGTTTAGTAAAATAGTAAAAATACTAAGGGAAATAATTTTAGATAATAAATCAAAACCGTTTCAGGGGAAACTTAAGACAAGCTTAGAAAGAAAGGATATCAAGAAACTAAAGTAAACACTAAAAATATATAAAATAACAAGAAATATATAAATATTAAATTAAAATTATTGAAAGATATTTATTTATTTCTATAAGTTTAGTAAAATAGTAAAAATACTAAGGGAAATAATTTTAGATAATAAATCAAAACCGTTTCAGGGGAAACTTAAGACAAGCTTAGAAAGAAAGGATATCAAGAAACTAAAGTAAACACTAAAAATATATAAAAATAACAAGAAATATATAAATATTAAATTAAAATCATTATAAAATATTTATTTATTTATATAAGTTTAGTAAAATAGTAAAAATGCCAAGTGAAATATTTTTAGATAATAAATCAAAACCGTTTCAGGGGAAACTTAAGGCAAGCTTAGAAAGAAAGGATATCATGAAACTAAAGTAAGCACTTAATATATAAAAATAAATATATAAATATCAAATTAAAATTATTGAAAGATATTTATTTATTTATATAAGTTTAGTAAAATAGTAAAAATACTAAGGGAAATATTTTTAGATAATAAATCAAAACCGTTTCAGGGGAAATTTAAGACAAGCTTAGAAAGAAAGGATATCAAGAAACTAAAGTAAACACTTATGTTAATATATAAAAATAACACTAAATATATAAATATCAAATATATATTAATATATAAAAATAACAATAAATATATAATTATCAATTTTAAAATATTGTAAGATATTTATTTACTTATATAAGTTTAGTAAAATAGTATAAATGCCAAGTGAAAAATTTTTAGATAATGAATTAAAACATTAAGAGATCCCAAATATTTTAAAGGACATTCTTTGCAATTTGAATGAAACA